TTGTGGGCAAGGGCACAATGGTGCCAACGACTAGTGGTGGGGGTGGTGGCAATGATGGTGGAAACAACTTAGGATGGTGGAAACAACTTAGGATGGTGGTGGTCATGGAGGCCATGAGGAGGGTGGCAGTCAGTGATGCCGCTGCTGATGGTTGGTGACAGTGCAACAATAGTATGTAGTGGTGGTAGGTGGGGGGAACAATGAAGATAGCAACAGCAACCAATCGTGGTGGTAGTGGTAGAAACAAGAATGGTAATCAGTGGTGCCGGCACGGCACCAAATGTGGCAGTGATGGTGATATTAGGTAGTGACAGTGGTAGTGATTGGGTTGGCTGGGTTCAGGGATGGACTGCGATTGACTTACACCCTAATTTTCAGCTACATTTTTTTTAATCTTACAGTCTCTAAATTTTAACTATTAAACTGTTCTTTCAGAAGCTTATGATACAGCACTTGCTTCCCAACCATGCATTATAGAATGAATACATGTAGAAGATTAATGTGCAACAGTGTTATCAGAAGCCACACATAAAGTAGTTCGGGCATATTTTTGGTTGACACTGAAGCAGTTTGGCCTTGATGATGCAGGCCTGTAGCAGGCTAGTGCACTATGTGCCACAGTGACCATTCTTTTCAGATTTGTTAAATAAACCCAATTTCATCATTTAATCATAGTTTCTACTGAGCAAATTAAAGAGATTTTGAATGTATTATGCCTAACTGAAGATATTAAAAACTCAACAATCAGTCATTTGTTGCCATGTGTGAACGATGTTTAGGCAGAAAGGCTAAGTAAAAGGCAATGGTGGGTTCCAAGAACTCTTGGCTGGGGCTTCGTGAACTGAGGTTTTGATGCTAGTTTGGTGGTATTCTCATTTATACTGACTACGCCCCTTCTCTGTTTCTTCCAGCTGAAACATACCCAAGTCCGTTTGTCTGGTCATGTAAATTTCTGTCTACTCATATTAGTAGCATGTTTCAGGTGCCTAATCTCCCACTTGGTTTATAATCATATAGACATTCCTAGCTTCCTTTCAGGCCACAATTAATTTACTGTTGCAATTCCCCCTTTGATTTTCTATTTAATTTGCTTATATTTATTGGTTAGATATAAATTTGAGTTTTGGAAGTTTTTGAATGACAGTCAAAAATGTCATGTGCAATGCTTTTATTTCTCAGATACTTTAAGGGCCCTGAACTTCTAGTTGATTTGCAAGACTATGACTACTCATTAGACATGTGGAGTCTTGGCTGCATGTTTGCTGGAATGGTGAGAATTATAGCTTTAGGCTACAACTTTAATATGAAGTTTCATTTTGAATCTACATGTGCAAAGTCGTGTAATTTTGGGTTATGATCTACTTAATGTAGATATTTCGCAAGGAACCTTTCTTTTATGGTCACGACAACCATGATCAGCTTGTCAAAATAGCTAAGGTAACATTCATGGGGTTGTTTCTATAATGTACAAAAATTGCAAAGTTATCATGTTGATTCTGTGCAGGTTAATGTCATGCTGTAGTTTCTGACTGTAATATCTTATTTTTTATTAAATAGGGATAATCAAGTATGCCTAAATTATTGCTTGTTTTGCATGCTAAAAGATTGAATTCTAGATAACTTACCCCCTCCCTGTTTCATATTCTTCTATTTTTTGTATGTGATTCACAGGTGCTTGGGACTGATGAACTGAATGCATATCTGAATAAGTATCATCTGGAGCTTGATCCTCAACTTGATGCACTAGTTGGAAGGTATCATATTCCATATGCTTTTCTGCATATTTCATAGCAAGTTTGCTTTAGGGAATTAACAACTTTTTGTCTCAATATCTTCCACGGCAATGCAGTAGTACCTCTCTCTCTCATATTGAGCTCTCTTAGAAGCTTAGTGCTTTTATTTTGATTTTATCTCTTCATGATAGATGTATGAAAAAGTATTGCTGTTTTTACACATCCTTTTTTATATTACAATATTGCCTTTTGCAGGCACAGTCGCAAACCTTGGTCTAAATTTATCAATGCAGATAATCAACATCTTGTGTCTCCAGAGGTAATTTGATCCATGTTCTAATATGGCATTGGGGCCTAACCAATTAGTTTACTGTAATTTAACAAATTCTCTGTTATGGTTTTTAATTATTTCAATATATTGGACATGCAGGCAATTGATTTTCTTGATAAGCTCCTTCGATATGATCACCAGGACAGGCTAACGGCAAGAGAAGCGATGGTAATAATAAAATGCTCATTAATTTACCGTAACATGGTTATTTTGTTGTGTAAGTAGCTTAATTTGTACCAATTTATAATCTTTTGATTTTAACAATTTTTTTCCTTAATGTATTCCCGTAGGCACATCCATATTTCTCTCAAGTAAGGGCAGCTGAAAGTAGCAGAATGAGGACACAGTAACAAAATCATTTGTGGATCCATAAACCTGAGTTCATTTATGTGGGATTGTTTTATAATACCCTAACATGTGGCATGGTTGCCTTCTGTTAAGTATAGTTTGTTAGTTTTGTCGTGGAATGTAACAATATCTTGTTCCAGCTGAATAATTTGTTAGTATGTTGTTGAAATTTCAAATTTTATCTTAAAAAAAGTTGTGATTATAAACTTAAGAATTTTAAGCTTTTGTGTAGTTTTTATCAATGTTCAGTAAAAGGTGTTTTCTATTTTTTTAACTTATATAAAATTTTGATTATAAACTCTTTTAAATACGAAATAAGCTAGTTTTAATATATATGTGGAGAATTTTCCCACTGCATTGCCATTTTCATGAATACATCGTTTCTGTTTTTTACAAATGCAGGTTTGAATAAATTTTATTTTGCAAATTAAGTTTGTGAAGGCAATCCATCATTTTTCCTATCTTAAACTGAATTTTTAAGACAAATTAATGTAAAACTTGATTTACAATTAGACTCAATTAAATTTCACAAAATAAATTTTAGCTTTTACTTATTGAACGGACATTAGGAGTCTTCCAACTGAAAATGAAACTCTTATCCTTCACTAAATTCGTCTGCTGCCTATGATGTTTTAAGATGTTTTTTGGGAACTAGTTGAGTAAAGGTGACATTGGAATGTACCCTTTTAATAGGAGGAAATAATGAAATATCATTAGAAATGAAGGGTAAAGTACATGTTTGTCATCTTCGGCCTCACACATGATACACCTGTTATCTGATACCTGATCGGGAATAAAAGGCAAACATACCTGATAGTGGTGTGCAATGCATCGTTGCAGGAAATGCTTTAGAGTGTTCAACCTTATTTAGATACTGTCTTAATGTCACTAAGCAGTAAGCAGGGGCATGACGGAAGGGTATGATTAATGCGAAGAAAATGAGGCAGGTTAAATGTCGGTTTGAGAACGTGCTCAAGTTTTTGGCTTTAAATGGCCATTGACTTTATTGTATTTTTTTTATCACCACCGTCACCATTGATTCAAGCCACCCTATAATGTTAGGTATACATGAGTTTAGGAATTAAATTCTGAAGTCATGATATGCCACTAGTGTCAATAAAAGTTTCTAGTTAGTGACCCTCAAAAAATAACCAACAAATGAATGACTACCAACTAAGAGTGACCCTATTTATAATTTTTTTAGCTGATGCTGTTCATTTTACTAGTTGAATCAACTTCGTTTACCCAAACTCAGCATAGATTTAATTATGAGCTTCCAGGACTATCAAACATCCTATATGAAAAAGCCAGTTCCGAGTAAAAGTGCTTACTATATTTGATTCTGAGGAATTTATCCTATATGAAAAAGCCAATCCCGAGTTGAAGTGCTTATTGTCTATGGTTTTCAGCATTTTTAGATATAATATATCTATAAGTACTTTTAGGAGAAGAAATTAAGATATTAAGATAATAAATAAAAAAATTCTTCAGTTTGACTGAAATAAAAATGACTTTATTTTTAAATAAACTAATACAAGAGAACTTTTATGAATAAGCTTAATTTAACTTTTAGATAATTTTATTTTATTCTTTTACAAATATTTATGAAAAATTTAAGCTTAATTTAACTTTTAGATAAGTTTATTTTATTTTATTTTTCTTTTAAAAAAATTTATGAAAATTTTTATCTAAACAAACATCCTTTGAGTTTTTTACGTAATCGGAAATCTCATTATTATGATGCAATTGTTATCAGATGAAATTTAGAATTCCTTTTAGTAGATTCACAATGCCATTGAAATGGATCTTATACAAACTACAAAGTGCAAAGAGTCCCATCTTGTTTTCTTATACAAGAAGAAAGGTGCGGGACATACAAAGAGTGAGAAAGAGGTTGTACAACTGCATTGTTGTAGCCATATTTGGGGCTCGGTATATTTTGGCTTTATCTTCTTAAATATTGACGCCACTCCAACTGACTTATGAAAACTCTTTTTTTTTTTCTTTTTTCTTTTTCCTTTGATTAGAAAATGCTACTTTAATTTTTTTTTTCTAAAATTATATTTAACTCAACTCCTTTTTCTTGGATAACTAGACACATACTATCTAAATTGATAACGAAAAACCCCAAAAATAAAATTTAAGCCAAATAGTATCTTAATCGACATTTTTGTTGTAAACTTTACATTGAACGATATTTTGACATCAAACATCGGGTTTCACTTGATTTCTCTCCATTTCACTTCGGATTCACGTATACCACATTTGGGAATTTCTGCGAAGCTTCGCGAGTTAAAATAGAAAGAAGCAAATGAGATTTCTAGGATTGAATATATTTTTAATGGAAGACCAAAATTTCATGAAAATATGGCAGTTAAGATTAAGTACTACTCACAGAAGTTGGAAACAATACTCACTTTGATAATTTGGTGCACCTTAAGGATATCAAATTTTTACCGGCACCAAGTAATAATTTTGCCAGAAAAATATATGGTTGGGAAATTTGATCACGAAAAAAAATCGGGTGATGTTTACGGGCTGAAGCATCCAGGCTTGTGCAAGCTACAAGTACTGAAAGAGTCGAACACTATGTAAACCGTGATTCTGTAAGATGCTTAATATTGACACTAACAATCATCATTCATAAGTTACAATTCGACATAAAAGAGAAAATTAACACAGTTTCTCACACTTAATGGAAAAACGTACTAATTATCCCCTCTCCCCCACAAGACACCAACACACAGACATATTCGATATAAAAGAAATTGAAGATCTATGTGGATATATTGTAGAACATGCCATAATGATATCATGTCTCCACATGCACTCGTTCACTTTTTAAGATGAGGAAAGCAAGCATAGACATCAGATTTAGGGTGTTTGGCTTCAGCATGCTCCCTGCACTTCACTTCTGATGTGGTGCACATAAATGTTTGCATGCACACCTTGCACTGCAATCATCAACCACAAAATCATAATCAGTTAAGGGCTCCATTCTGCTGAGTCACTACAGTAATGCAATGAGAGAGAAAGAGTTCTCCCTTGTACGAGATCCAAAACCAAACTATCTATAGATTAAGAAATCACACATCTATAATCAAGTCTTCAAATGTACAAACATTTTGACATTATTGTTATGGAACATCATTCAAGTGTGTATACGTCTTCCAAGACAGATTGAAAGAAAACAATTATTCGGTTGACATAATGTAGTATGCAGTTTATGCATTGAACAAATAGAAACAAATCGGCCACACTAGATAAATTTGTGAAACCAATTGCATTTCTTTTATCAGAAAGATTAAAATGAGAGCAAAAAGGTTCGATATTATCCCAACTCCTACCACTAGGGAGAACCTAGTGATTCAATCAATTGCATTTGAAAATATGAGTAACTTCCCCATCAATGTGGTTCTGACTTGAATGTAGATCCTGGATGTACATCCAAACATGTACCAAGTCTAACAAAGGATCGATTCCTCAGTAATAAGCCCGAGTTTGTAGCCAAACAGAATACCAAACAATATTTGATGAATTTCAAAAAATACCAATTGCTGAATAACCTACTTAAATGTTAGGATGAAAGACACTACGTGACTCTGTTAAGAGACTTTTATCTCAAAAAGGGAACGAAATAAAAGACTTCCAGCAAAGTAGTTAAGCATTAAAAACTTATTTAGCAGTAAATAAATTGCTGAAATTGGTGGTTCATTACCCGTAATAAAAAAGAATAAAAATTATTAAATCATTTATTTTCTGCGTTGACGATCAACCAAAGAAATCTTCAATAAAGGATCCATGTCTAAATTCGGCTTATATGAAAGAAAAAAAATACAAACAGATAAAAAGGGTACATGAGAAGCTGGGATGAGGTTCCAAGCACCAGAATTTTACCTGGATATTCATGGCTTTCTTGTTTGTTTCCAACTGGCTTCCTGCACATATTAAGATCAATAACTGCATCAGATCTAACACATGCAGCCCCGATTCTAATGGAAAAAAACACTTCTTTCAAATAAATTTAATTAAATTTAGCCCTAAAAGTTGAGGGCTTGAAAAGAGAAAAATCACCCTTTGCTCCGGCCTTCTGCTTCTCGAGGTTCCTCTCGCGAGCCATCTTCGCCTTTTGACCATTGCCTCCTCCCATGACTGATGGGGCACCACCGGAGACCCGAAATCCAAAACCCTAACTTTTCTCTGAATGCTGAGTGTGGAAGCAAGAATGAATATATGGACTTCTCTGCACAAGTGATTCTCACACGCTATTGTTTGGTTCATTAGTTGTCGCTTTTAAACTACGATTTTAGGACCTATTTCTCCACACAGGTGTTGGAATTCACACGTGGCACAGATAAGTGGCCACGTAATTGTGTTAACGCGTCAATGTTACGGCTAGAAGCCAATACTCATACTCATGCAGTCATGATGCCTATCCACCAATAATTATGGTGCCATCCTTCTTTCTTTGACGATATCTAAGGTGAATCATGTCTTAGGTAATTTTTCATTATTTATCTTATCATATTTATAGTATTGTATGTGTATTAAATCTTTTCTCTCTTTTTTATTTTATTTTATTTCTTTTACCTTTCTTATGTTCCCATGTTTCTTGGAGTGGACTGTAACATTATCGTTTTCACAATTCAATAGAAGTAAAGTATCCACTTTTTCTACTCCTCATGTAGTTACTGTCAAAAATACCACCACACTCCATCCATCATGGAAATCCCATGGTTTATGAAGAACTGGAGAGACACATGGAAAAATTTAGACAATGGCCCAATCCTTGTTATGGTGGTTAATTTCTATGGTTCTTATTCTATCTTTGTGAGGGCGAGTAAGCTGAATGCAACACACACATGCATTTAGATTAGTTTTAATGAGAACCACATGAATCTAAGTCATTCCTTTAATTTAAACATTTGATAATTTTAATCTATAAAAAATAGAAAAAAATTATATTAACAGTGAGATTTATTACTGCACGGTGTGAAGTTGTCTTACAAGGAGACCCATATCCTTCTTTGGAAGGGTATTACCAGGGATGGCAACGGGGCGGGGCAGGTACGGGTTTCATGATACCCGTTCCCGTACCCGTACCCGTCGGGTATGTGATTTTCATCTCCATCTCCATCCCCGTCGGGTATCGGGTATACTCGTACCTGTACCCGTACCCGTCAAAATTTTTATTTTTTATTTTTTTTAAAAAATATAATATTTTTAAATTATTTTTTTAATTATATTATAATTATAATTAGGTTATTTCTTTATCTCATATTATAATAAATAATCATACATAAAAAAAATATTAAAACTCTTTAATATAATTAAATTGAAAGTGGGTATTAAATTAAAAATGGGAACGGAAACGGGTACGGGTACAGGTACGGTTACGGGGCAGGTAAGTACATACTCGTACCCGTACCCGTACCCGATTTAATATATCGGGTTTTACCCGTACTCGTACCTGTACCCGGTCAAACCGGGTATTCTCCGTCAAAGTCGAGACGGGTTCGGGTATTACCCGCGGGTACGGATATATTTGTCATCCCTAGGTATTACTGTTGTCGTTGGGAGTGATAAAGAGGGAGAGAGAGAGAGAAATTAAAAAGAAAAAGCTTAATTACACTTTTGATCCTCTTAATTCAGTGTAAGAGCAATTTTGGCCCTTATAATTTGAATTACTTAATTTTGGTCCATAAATTTAAATAATGGGTAATTTTAGCCGCACAAATAATTTACCATCCAAAATTTAACAGACGTTAATGATATGGATTTTATGCTAAATAAACATTAATTATATATTATTTAATTTCTTACGTGTCAAATTATTTAATATTCAAATTTTAAAATTTTTTAATTTATTTATTTTATATTTCTCTTTCTTATACGTGTTAATGTTGCAATTGGAACGGGCCGTTCTGCTTGCACGCATAGTCTGTTAATTTTGAAACTGAAATTTCCAAGCAAAACGGCTCGTTTTGATCCATCGTCATGTGTGTATTTTTACATTCGGAACGGCCCGTTCTAAAAGGAAAACGGGTCGTTCTGCAAGTGCGACAGGAGAATGGGCCGTTCTAAAAAGAAAACGAGTCATTCTGAAAGGAGAACGGGCCGTTCTGGATCCAGCTTTATACTATGCTCAGATCCAAAATGTAAAAAAAATAATAATAATAATTAACAGCTCATTATTCGATTTCCCGGGAACTAAATTCTGAACGTGAACAGTGAAAGGTGCTACTTTGATAAATAAATTGGTACAGGTACTTTTTTGGTAAATTTTTTAAAAAAAAATCTATTTTAGTGAAAAATTCTCACTGCGATTGATATCAATACCCTTTTCATTTTGTTTTCAATGTTATTTGAATTTAAAAATTTGAATATTAAATAATTTGACACATAAAAAATTAAATGATATATAATTAATATTTATTTAGCATAAAATTCACATTATTAACGTCTGTTAAATTTTGGATGGTAAATTGTTTGTATGACTAAAATTGCCCATTATTTAAATTTATAAATCAAAATTAAGCAATTTAAATTATGAGGACCAAAATTACTCCTACACTAAATTTTAGTGTAGGAAGACCAAAAGTGCAATTAAGAAAAAAGAAAATATACAATAGAGGGTTCACGGTGAAACATGGGTCTGATAAATTTAATGGTGAAATTAAATGGTTCACCATAGACTACATTACTCACAAATCCACCCTAGTCCTTCTCTTTCCTTTTCAAAACTTTATCTTTCTTAAATAAAGCCTATATAACTGGTTAAATTTTTCTTTTTACGATTTATTTATTTTAAAATTAAAATTTTGGTTTCTAATTTTAAAAAAATGGTATTTTGAGTCCTATCATTATTTTAACATTTAACATTCAAGGTTAAAATTTATTAATGTTATGATTTTTAATTATTTATTTAATAGAGTGAAAGTAAATTCTATCCTCTTTGGAGGTTGTTTAGATAAATTCCTTTCGATTAAGTGACAACAAGTTTGCGGTGCATTTTGTGACTCTAACCCTATTATGTTGGTATCAAATCTTATAGATTTGGAGAGACTGATATATGTGTTCGTGTTTCTCATGTGCTTAGGAAGGTAACTGTGTTGCTGGCTTCCTTGCTTCTTGGGCTCTTCAGTGGGATATTGGTTTACATATTCTATATAGTCCCCTTATGGATTTTGTTCATTTACTCATTTACCGACGAATTTATTAAAAGTTTTAAATAATGAAACAATCCTCATACATAAATTTACAATATTAAATATATAATTTTTCATTTTTTAAAATATAAATATATATCACAATTATTCTCTATGAAATTTTATATTATAAAAAATATTAAATAATTTTTTTATTTTTAACAATTTTAAAAATATCATTCTCCACGTAAGAAATTAAATAATAATTTAACTATTTATTTCACATATCAAAATTTTTTTTTTTTAAATAGTATAATATGGGTTTAGATTAATTATTAACTTTTCAGGATTAGTCCAACAATGATAGATTATGGAGAAAAGTTTGAGAGAGACTTATACTTGAAATAAAAGAGCTATATGTTTGACTTTTTTTATATATCAATATATGTAACTTTTTTGCTTTACAAAAACTTAATCGTAAATATTTTTTAGTTGATGGACTCAGCTTGAACTTTAGTAATTTTATTTTTTTGGTCAGCCTTGAAATCTTTTTACTAACTTAATTTAATTATAATTAATAATACATACAGTAAAAAAAAATATTTCAAAAAATTAATATATTAACTTTGACTTAATTTTACAAAATAAAAGTAAGGAGAGCAATAAAGACACTTAATTTTTAATATTTTTTTTACTACACATAGCTTTTAGCATAATAAGTCACAACAAATTATCATATGTGTAAAATAAAATAAAAACTAAACACCAAAAAGTTAATACCCTCACTCTTATCAACATGAATTTGTCCCTCATTGCCAACACCTCGTCATCACCACATGTAATTTTGGATTTGGATTCGGATCCTCTGACTTTGAGATATCAAAGTTATGGTAACTTAACACATCTCAATCGTTGGATTTGTAATAATAGATCAGATTGTGACACGTGGACAAAATATATTTTAACTTAAAGTTACACGTTTCACAATCTTATCTACTATTACAAATCTAATGGTTTAAATGTGTAAAGTTACCCTAACTTTCCCCTCCAAAGTCAGGGGATCTATTTCCCATGTAATTTTGGATTTTGCCCTCCTTTGCCCACAAAAAAGTTAATTATCAATAATGAATTATTAATAATATATGTGCGTGTGTGTGAGAGAGTGTATGTAAATGTCATTTTTTATAGAATGAGAATGTTAAATATCAAGTCTTAAATTGAAATAAATAACTTAGAATCAAAGTTGTAGTTACTTTCAAAATCTTGCCATAGCTATTTGTATATTAGTACCTACTCTTTGGCATGATATTATGTTTTTCCGTGCGTCAAATTCTTTATAATATGTTCCATGAATTTGTGATATAAGGATGTTATCTTCCTTTCAAGCCCAAGTTTTCATGATTCAAGAATGGTAATAATTAAATATGGGTGACTTTTATGAAAGGGAAATATAGTAAAGCCAGAAACATAAGTTTGATCTTGAGTTGCAAGCATATCTATTATTGCTCCTACCATTGGGTTTAATGTTCATACTAAATTGGCCAGGGAGTTATTTAATGAGAATTAAAGTTGTTAAAAGTGAGATTTTTATTTAATCTCTAATGATACTTGTATGTAATTTAATGAGAATGGAGAAAGTAAATATTAAGAAAATGATAAGTGCTAACTAAGATATTGGTACAACGTACTTTATAATGAATTGTTTTTGTTAAATGTATATTTTTGTTAAATGTATCATTTCATTTGTTTGTTATTTGTTTTAGGCTTTTTTTTTTTGTTACTTTGTTCTATTTAGTTTGTCTATGTAACACCTTTAACCCCAAATCGATTTTAATTAATATTTAATTTATAATGCAAAATTTAAAATATAAACACAATAAAAATAATATATTATAACTACAAAAAAAATTGCATTTAGCAACCACCAAAATCGGTCGCTAAATTGCTAAAATCGGTCGTTATTTGAATTAGCGGCCGAATTTAAGTAGTCGCAAAAATCCTAGTCGCAAAGTTATATAGCGACCAAAAAAATTTCGGTCGCTATTTAGCGACCAAAAATTTTGGTTTAGCGACCGAAAATTTCTGTCACAAAATGGTTGCAATGATTTTGGTCGCTGATGTGTATGGGAACCAAATTAGTGACCGAATA